TACTTCGTCTCGTATTATTAGAATTTTCTGTGTAAACTATAATTTTCAACGGATGTCTTCAGGCAACTTGTGGACACTACCGTAGAGATGGCTCAAAAGGTAGGAAGTGCTGAAATGATTGCAAGAATTGTGGATGATCTAAAAGATGAAAACGAGCAGTACAGGTATTCTTTTTTTTAATATATGGGACTTTGAAGAGATCAACCATGTTGTGATCATTATAGAAGGTTGAATTACCGATTGCTCTTTCTTATTTCAGAAAAATGGTGATGGAGACTGTAGAAAATATAGTAGCATTACAAGGTGCTAACGAGATCGACTCACGTTTGGAGGAGCAGTTGATTGATGGCTAGTTTTCAGTCTTTCATTGTCCAACTAGTAAAATTCTAAAGATTCAACATCTTGCTTTGAACTTTTTGCTTTTTAGGTATCCTTTATGCGTTCCAAGAACAAACGCAAGAAGATGCTGTTATGCTTGATGGTTTCGGGACTGTATGCAAGGGATTGGGAAGGTAAAGTTTTTTCCTTCCTGTTTTTCTCGTTCTATATCACAGTCGCCTTCACTGTAATTTCCTATTTTCTTTTCTAGTTTCGTAAGTTAAGTAACTTAGGCGCACAAAGCCCTACCTACCCCAGATTTGCGGTACTATATTATGGCGTTTGAATAATAAATCCGCTAAGGTTCGACAACAGGCTGCTGATCTTGTAAGTTTGCTTGTTTGTAGTGCATCAACCACAGCGGAATGATGGTTTATTTAGATCGCACGGGTAGCTCCAGTGATGCACATTTGTGAGGAAGAAAAACTTATGGGTCACTTGGGTGTTGTGCTGTACGAGTATCTTGGAGAAGAATATCCGGAGGTAAGGCTCTCTACTGACTTCTAGTTACTTGTCATGTGGAAAAACGCTCTTAGGTGCTTGGTTCAATCTTGGGTGCTTTGAAATCCATTTGCAACGTGATTGGAATGACGAAGATGACTCCACCAATCAAGGATCTTTTGCCTAGGTTAGAATTTTAACTCCACCTCTCCTTACTGTTGTTGAGCGAGATTATACCCAATAGGTTGACACCCATTTTGAAAA